ATGTATGTGATGATTGGTGATGTGATATATGAGGCAAGAAGAAATTATCACATTAATATGTCAAATTGCAAATTATCATGAAGGATGTCAAATAGGGCAATTATCACAGCGAGCGATTATGAACAACATTATTTTTTAGAAATTTACTCGATCGAATTACCTAATCTCAGTAAGGATTATTGCGTCATATGTGAGTAAGAATTTCATATCTTACAATTCTTAGTACGATTCCACTCTTGTCACTGTAGTATTAATCAAATGGTGGTCGAGATAATTAATTTCTTAACCTGTCCATTGTGTTCTCATTTGCCAGTAAAATTAAGCAATTGGAAAATTGGAAATCACTACCAATTAAACACTGATCTTTGTGGCCATGATTCAGCCAGCCAACAAAGCTAACTTGACAAACTACCATTGGTCTATGATTAATGCCCCACTCATTTAGTGGGATTCCATCACGATTCATTTCATATGTCTTAAAATATTATTATAATGAAATAATGGTGCATGGATTGATTCATCTTCTAGGCATAATACTGAGAATGTTTATTGAATAAAGAGAGGTCGGATCAAATCAATTGGAACTAGAATAAGTTTGATGAATGATGAGATCTTCTCTTTTTAATGAATGAGAAGTATGTTTAAAAATTGTTAACCCCATATTCGTATTTAGGTAAATTCACAAGTCTGAACTATAAAATTTATTCTCTCTTTCAAATTCTAAAATTAAAACATCGAAAACGTAGACAAATAAACAACTTTGAATTACAGAAGACTGAATAATAAAAAGAAATAAATGTCAAATCTCACTAATATCTGTAATTATTTTCACAAACGTAGCACCCATGTTTCAAACCAACTTATTTGTTGCTGCCATTTCTTGACTTTTAAAACTGCGACACCCATGTTCATAGATAACGATAACATGTATGGACGTTAAATGACTATGTGCCAATTCTAGTAATATCGGACTGTATATGTAAAAATGTCTTCATTTGTTTCAAAAGAATTCAAACAATTACTTCGACTGTCATTTAAAAATCAGATAAAATAATAACATGAAACTTATACCCTACTTCAGCCATTCCCGACACCATAGATTGTCATTGGCCATTTGACGTTCAAATCAACGTTTTCCGTTAGCTAGACCATATGTGTACCCCTAATAAATGATAAGTTGGGGGGATATAATGCAACATTTACAAAGGTTTGAGGACTTATTTTGGAAAAATTTCCACTTAATAGAACACAAAGTAACGTGCAGTGCATCTGTCTTCCCCAATAGAGAATATACATTATCATCTCTATATCCGTTTGTGATTTCTTGCAACGTGGCCCAATCAAATCATGCCTCCAACATTGCCATTCTCTTACACTGATTCAAGCCAGACTATAAATATTCAAGCAAAAAGCATTAATCTTTGTACGCCAAATGCTCTAACCAGTGAAGGGAAAGAACATCAGCCCACCAAATATTTGGCCCTCTTAAGAAATCTTGAATTTTCATTTTTCACAATTCGAAGTCTTGTTTTCTGTCAATTTCACATAGACATACACTTACTTTGTCTGCCAACTGCTCGTTGGAGTTCAAGCCTGACGCCAAAGCCTCAACAAAATCCAAGAACCCCTTTTTTTATATGGAAGCATTGTAAATTTGGGATCTTTTTGTGAGGAAGTTGTAATCTTGATTTGGCCTTTTGAAGTTTAGTTACTTGCTAGTCGTTGTTATTATCATAAATAAAGAAATATTAGTTTGATGGCTCTCTGTACATTTGCATTTCCTGGGAATTTGAGCAAGGCAGCGGGTGCAGAACCTCAAAGGCACACAACTTTATGCTCTCAGTGGCTCCATGGAACGGATCTGCAGAGTAAATTTTATTTCAAGAATCAGCAGGTTTGTAATTTGTTTAATCTTTTTATAATGAGTTGATTTGTTAAATCTTTTAATTATGAGCTGAACAACTTTAAAAAAAAAAAAAAAAAAAAGTTAACCCATGTTATTGTTCCTCGATCCTGTCTCATGTTCATTGTCCCTTTCATTTCTGGCATGCTTGTTATCATGAATTGTATATTATAAAAATGAATAAAAAAAGAAGCTAAAATCGTTATTATCCAATTATGTCTAGTATTATGTGTACCAAACACATCCTTAGTTTACCATGTCTGTGTTCAAGATTATCTTTTGGCAAGGAGCCCGTATGACAGTGTCCATGTATAAGCTTGTATTCTATGTGATTTTGGGTATTTCTTTGAAAGAATCTTTTTCATCTGTCAGTTTAGGTTTGGAACAATTAACTTGAAACAGTTTTCTTGTAATATTTTGGTATTGAAGATGAGGAAGAGGGCAGCAGGGGTTTGTGCATCCTTATCGGAGAGAGGGGAGTATCATTCACAGAGGCCTCCGACTCCTCTTTTGGACACTGTCAACTATCCTATTCATATGAAAAATCTCTCTACTAAGGTATAAAATAAACCTGAGAAAGCGTATCAAACAATTTCATATGACCGTTTATTTGAGTGTTATTGGACTGCAAATAAATCTTTCTAATATATTCGTTTCAAATTAATGCTAATCTTTGGTCCAGGAACTGAAACAACTTGCAGATGAATTGCGGTCTGATGTTATATTCAATGTTTCAAAGACTGGGGGTCATCTTGGTTCAAGCCTCGGTGTTATTGAGCTCACTGTGGCTCTTCATTATGTATTCAACGCTCCTCGAGATAGAATACTTTGGGATGTTGGGCACCAGGTGATAATTTTATTTTCTTACAGTTCAGTTAGCAAACTAGTTAAGGCAGGATAAAAGATGATTATCTTTATGTGATTCTTTTCCGTTTGCTGCAGTCATATCCACATAAAATTTTGACTGGAAGAAGAGACAAGATGCATACATTGAGACAGACAAATGGTCTGGCAGGTTTTACTAAGCGCTCGGAGAGTGATTATGATTGCTTTGGTACCGGCCACAGTTCGACAACTATCTCAGCAGGACTAGGTAATCTCTTATTCCTCCCAATTGAACATTGAAATCCACAATAAAATAAGAACCCATATGCTAGATTTCATACTGCATTACCGTAGTTTGATAAGGATTTTTATCCAGTTTCTTCGAATCAATGGTGCAATTTGTGACACAGATACTGATACTTTGTTAATGATGATCCGTATAATTCATAATAATTTAGGGAAAGTAGCATCTTCTAGATGCATTCTTCAGTACAAACACAACATATAAATGTGGGTGTGTGTATTATATCTTGACATGTCTTTATAAACCTTGTTGTTGAGATGCTAATTGTATTAAAGAACCTGGAATTCGTTTCTTTTCTAGGTTTTGATCCGTTAGATTTCTTGGCTCCGCAGGAATGGCTGTGGGAAGGGATCTAAAAGGAAGAAACAACAATGTAGTTGCTGTAATAGGTGATGGTGCTATGACAGCAGGTCAGGCTTATGAAGCAATGAACAATGCTGGATACCTTGACTCTGACATGATTGTTATTCTTAATGACAACAAACAAGTCTCGTTACCCACTGCTAATCTAGATGGCCCTATTCCTCCCGTTGGAGCTTTAAGTAGTGCGCTGAGCAGGTTGCAGTCCAACAGGCCACTTAGAGAATTAAGAGAAGTTGCCAAGGTTAAATAATGAGCGAAGAATATGAAAAGATAGAAAATCTTATATTATATGAAGATTTCTTATGTAATTTTGGTTTAAATATTTGCAGGGAGTCACTAAACAAATAGGTGGGCCCATGCATGAGCTTGCAGCGAAAGTTGATGAATATGCTCGTGGGTTGATCAGTGGTTCTGGATCTACGCTATTTGAAGAGCTGGGACTCTACTACATTGGTCCTGTTGATGGCCATAGTATTGATGATCTAATTGCTATTCTTAAAGAAGTTAAGAGTACTAAAACAACTGGTCCTGTGTTAATCCACGTAGTCACGGAGAAAGGCAGAGGCTATCCGTATGCCGAGAAAGCTGCAGACAAGTACCACGGTAAAGTATTACTGTATTGGTTGCAAAATGTTAACAGAAAATTAGACACACATATGCTTGTATCAGGTCGCTTATGAAACATAATTTGGAATGTTATTGAAAGTTAAAACATAATAAATGCTGAGGACGAGTTTTTTCCCGACCATTATTTTCCTCATGGCATTTTGTGATTATCTGATTTAATATTTGCAGGTGTGGCTAAGTTTGATCCGGCAACTGGAAAACAATTTAAATCCAGTGCCCCTACTCAGTCATATACAACCTACTTTGCAGAGGCTTTGATAGCAGAAGCAGAAGCGGACAAGGATATTGTTGCAATCCACGCAGCAATGGGAGGTGGGACAGGTTTAAACCTTTTCTTGCGTCGCTTCCCAGCGAGGTGTTTTGATGTCGGGATAGCCGAACAGCATGCTGTAACTTTTGCTGCAGGCTTGGCCTGCGAAGGCATTAAACCTTTTTGTGCAATCTACTCGTCCTTCATACAAAGGGCTTATGACCAGGCAAGCTAATTTGCATTTCTGTTTTCTCAGTGATCATTATTTTATAGCCAACAGAAATTTTAACAGATGAGTCTTTCTTTCATATCCAGGTAGTGCATGATGTGGACTTGCAGAAGCTACCAGTGAGGTTTGCCATGGATAGAGCTGGCTTAGTTGGAGCAGACGGTCCTACTCATTGTGGGGCATTTGATGTTACTTTTATGGCATGCCTTCCTAACATGATAGTGATGGCTCCTTCTGATGAGGCTGAGCTATTTCACATGGTTGCAACTGCGGCCGCTATTGATGATAGACCAAGCTGTTTCCGCTATCCAAGAGGAAACGGTGTGGGCGTGGAGCTACCCCTGGGGAACAAAGGCATTCCTCTTGAGGTATAATACATCTGATTTTCGTTTTTTCTCTTTCTTTCTACGTGTTTATAATTGATCTTGAAGTTAGGGGTTAATGTTTAATCCATAATTTCTACTTGCTTTTAAATGACGGTGAATTTTGATAGTATAGAAAGAATCCATGTACAGCATAATTCTTTGAAAGTTCTATCATAGGTTGGAAAGGGCCGGATATTGATTGAAGGAGAGAGAGTGGCTCTTTTGGGGTATGGATCAGCCGTTCAAAGCTGTTTGGCTGCTGCTGCCTTAGTAGAATCCCGTGGTTTACAGTTAACTGTTGCAGATGCACGCTTCTGCAAGCCACTAGATCACTCTCTTATACGCAGCTTGGCAAAATCACACGAGATCTTGATCACTGTGGAGGAAGGGTCAATTGGAGGTTTTGGATCTCACGTAGCTCAGTTCATGGCCCTGGATGGGCTTCTTGATGGCAATTTGAAGGTATAACATGAAATTACATATTTGTTTAGACCATCAAGGAATCGTGTTTACATAATAAACTATGCATAGAAACGTCTTAAATACTCAATTCGCACGATTCCATCTTCTGCAGTGGAGGCCGGTGGTTCTTGCAGATCGGTACATTGATCATGGATCCCCAGCTGACCAACTGATGGAAGCGGGGCTGACACCATCTCATATCGCAGCAACAGTTTTCAATATAATTGGGAAAGCTCGAGAGGCTTTGGAGATTATGTCTGAAAGTGTAAGAAGTTTATAAATTGAGTACATAATTGTTTCGACTCTTAAAGATAGTCTTAGGATGGACTCTGGCTCTTTTGTAATCACGTTGTAATTCAACTAACTGAAAAAGCTGAGAAATCTTGATGACATATATAGAAAATATAAAGGATTATATTTCCTGTGCCTTTGTATGATTCATTCGTGGTTTTTGTTTCTTGTGATGGATTATAAACTTTTTAGTACTTTCATTACTTATTATCAAACTGTTTCAATACTATAAACCAAATACGTGCATTGTTCTAATATTTACTGTCGCAAGTGAGACAAACTAGTGCAATATATTGAAATTCCAGCAATAATTAAATGGCAATTAGTTCTAACATCAGAAAATGAAATAATCGAGAATCCAGCCAGAGTAACTTGCAAGAGTTAAAAGAAACTACATTTGTTAGAATCAGAATGACTAAGAAGTGTATGGGATATCCGATAAAGACAGTATCAAGATGGAAAAACCAGTTCTACTGGAATTAATCATGTTACATGAACGACAAGATTGACATAAAATTTGACATAATGGCACGTGCTATTCTATCATTAGACAGCTTAAAACATGATCAGCTTTTTCATCCAATCATTTATTGACACATGCAATTATATTGAACTTTCTTTTAAATCCTTCTGACAAACTAGTTTTATTCTTCTTGAATATCCTGATTCAACGTCAAAGAAGTTCCTAATGCTTCCATCTTTAAGAGTTAACCACATTGACTTTCTTCCTTGGCATCTCATTGAAAATGTTGCTGGCACCCTTATTAGTCATACGGGCAGCATCTGATTGGAGAAGTCCTTGTTGCTGCAGTATTGAAAAATAATGGTAATCAAATGTTAAAAAATTCCCAGGATCCAGTTCTCCTGTAGTTGTGTTGTTTCATATGCTTTGGCATTTCGTTCTTAATGTTTAACGATGAATCTGAATTGCCTTTCCGAATGCAATTAAATAGCCTGTTATTGAAGAAGTTGCAGCGTTCGACTCCAATTGTATGTGCACCTATATCAACTTGAAGAAAGAACCATAAAAAAAAAAGGCTCCAATGTCGAAGAGTTTGAACCAAGACTTCCATAAGGACAGTGTAGGATAGAGCGGCATTAGGTGATGCTGTAAGACGTATATGCACTTTACATAGTCGTAAAGGATGAAATTTCGTCGGTCGATGGTGAGCACATGTGCAGCTTTACACAAAATATGATGCAAAAGTCCAAGTTATGCGAATGGCTCATAGAAAGTACTAACTGAATTGGGAACGACATGATCATATATATACATAGGTTGATCGGTTTAATACCTAATGGAACAACGAAAACATGTTTCCATGTGATATTTTGAACAATATTCTCATCTCCGAGGGCCGAGGCGACCATTTCTATGAAAGTTTTTCCTTAAACTCGCCACCATTACAAGCTCCTATTACTAGGAAAACTGGCAAAATTGTGGAGAAAATATTAAGATTATCCATCTCTCTCTATAACTCCAAATTAAGTATAGTGGTTTGATAGCACAAAATTTGAAGTTTGGTGACCTAATTTCAAGTATGGTGAAAGTTCAGTTACTTCCATTGCAATTTGAGGTAGCTATGGCGGGAAATGGAGAGGTTGGCACGTCTATAGTTTTGATGGACATGTCAACAGGCTTATTATGGAGCTCAAATTGAGTAACCTCATTGCTCGTAGGTTAAAAGTATATTGGTCTGATTGCACCTAATTAAGTTTAGCGATCAAATTGCAAGTATAGTGAAAGTTCAGTAACCTTCAGTGCAATTTGCCCAAAAAAAATAGACATAAGATTTTTTACAAGGTTTTTGCTCGTAGCTCCTGATTGTTATCAGATAAAGCAAATTTTAGATTTCCGTTTCTTGAGATGATGAAAAAGGATGTACATGTTGTTGGGGAAATTTACACCGATTACGTGCATATTATACTCACAAAAGCATATTGGTTATTTGCGTGAAATCGAAACGTAATTTCGACTTACCGAAATAGGATTTGAGAAGCAAAACATAAAAGTTACCAAATCTGAATGCATGGATATGGATTCATCACTTTTGATTTTTGAACGAAAGNTAGGATTTGAGAAGCAAAACATAAAAGTTACCAAATCTGAATGCATGGATATGGATTCATCACTTTTGATTTTTGAACGAAAGTAAATTATTCTTTTGATCGAACCTTGCAACATAAACATGTAAACAATGTTAATCACTTCTTGAAATTAAAATATAATAAAAAGAAATCAAAAAACTGTAGGAAGAAAGATGCAAGTGATGAATTTTTTGTCGAGGCAAGTGTTTGACACTTGGTCCTTAAGATGAATTTGCCCCGCATCGTTGCTAACGATTTTTTGACAATCATCTCCCAAAATACAACGATCACGTCAAGCCATAGGAGCATTCCAAATGGCTTCGACCAGCGAACTCGAACGAAATTCCCTCTCTCCCAAGGAAATGCATGAAAATGTTATGGAATTAGAAAGGAGAGAATTGCAAGAGGAAAATGAATGCTCAATGCAATTGGTGTACCCAAAATCATGTCTATAGGGTTCTATTTATAGATGTAAAAATGGTGCAAATGAAGTAGTGTGGGTCAAAACATGCATCATTTCAAAAAGTTGCAACACTTGGCCAAAATCTGCGTCCTTTCGAAAAGTTACAACACTTCATTTCTTCCAAATTTGGTCCGCAATTTCTCATTCATTCGGAATTGGTTTCGAGATTCCAAATATACTACGACAATCTACTCGACGAGTAGAATAAGTTGGTATATTTACTTTTGTAATTTGACCATCGGATCAAGTCCGAATATTTGGTCGAATTTGACACCTAGTCACACCTTTTTATTTTCCACTTTTACACACCTTTTTATTTTCCAATTTTTACACACCTTTTCATTTAATTATTTGAACAAATTCCAAAAATCCCCCACATGAATGAAAATTGGGTACGCATATGCAAATGTAATGATATGATGCAATGTAGAGAGGGTGCGAAAAAAACACTGCATCAAGGAAGGTAGCTTCTGGCCTTGAACCTCCCTTAGTGAAATACTATCGGACTTACTCAGCTAATTGGTGAACGTGATGTCTTGAACCATTCAGCCTTTAGTGTAAGCCAAGACAACGATACTTACACAGATGTCTTTTCTAAACCATTCATGGTTCTCATGACTTGGTTCATTTTGGCCCTAAACCCTTCTTGGTTCTGCAAGTGTTTAGACAATTCAAGCCTTGAATAATTCTCATTGAAGCGGCTCCATTTCACACTCACATAAGTGACCTCCTATTAAGAGTATTCTACCCTACTCCACTTGATTTAATCAAGATATAGGAATCATTAAAAGATTATCTTAACATCTTGCAACTCTACAGAAAGCACTTTAATATCATAGGAATGAGTTAGGACATTATTTTCCTATGTGCTTCGTGGAATCCTCATAACTTAGTTGTCCCTTTGAACTAAGATCTTGGGATCTCCAGTCAACAAGGTAGGGTTACCATTACAAGGACTCTAACGTAGTCGGCTTCAATCTCATTCCCTTCAATATGCAGTCTTCTTAATCTCTCTTAGTACATCTCTTTTAAAGGTACCACGAGTTTACACCATTGAGATCAACTGCTTAATGGTATTATGTCAATGACTTATACGTCTAGATCTACCATTACATGTGACTAATATCTTATCAAATATAGCTAGCCAACAATCAATTTATTTGATAGATGTAAATTATCGCCACCAAGAAATCTTCTCATGAAGCTACATGCCTCATTAGCTTTATCAATTTCCAAACAACACTGTTGGAGGATTTCTATATAATTATTACACTAGTCAACCATGTTTACAAGTGGATTTCAGAATCATGGATATTCAATATCATCATTGAAACATTACCATGCATTTGAACTATATGAATATTCTTCAAATATTCCAATTGTTCTTGCATGTCTAAACAAACTCTATAATTGGCTTCTACCCATTTAATCCACTTTAAACTTAGTGTCTATCATCCCTATAATTAGTATAAGGGTTTTCTATCTTTTCACCTTCATAGATATCTTTCTATGATTATAAGATAAAAGCAAATATAACTGTTAAACTGAGTTATCTTCACAATTCCTCAATTAGGAATACATATGCAATGTTACATCCACAAGTTTTGAACTTTTCATTTCAAGTTCACAAGCATTAAATTTAACCCCCCACATTCTTGGGTTATACTTGAACTTAGAATTCAGCAACTCTTATAGTTCTATTTATTTATCTCTTAGATAATATCTGTATCGAGTGCTTCGTGAAAGTCTAAGTACTTTCAAAGTAGTAGTCGTCAACTTACAATTTATTTTAATCCAATTATTTTAATTTGATCATCCAAATTAAATCAAGGTCATCATATAGACCAGCAATGCTTTCCAAGCATAAACCAATTTTAATTGGTCTCACGATTGAAATCAATTCAACAATAAAGAGGGCTAAGCATTGCAACTTCTTCAAACATATACAACTTATCACATTTGTGACATTTCACATGATAGTTTTATTTCAACCATGGGTTGAAAAGTTGTGTTCTCAAGAGACACAACTGTACAAAAGGACACACCTCTTGAATTAATCTCTATGAAGAGATACACCCATTAGAAAATTAATCATACCAAAAGTCATGATTATTCATATGAAAAAACACATCTTTCCATGCAAAATTGATCATAGAATATTTCATAATAATTAAGTGGCTTAAATCTTATAACTAAATAATTATATCCACTTAAATCATCTCACTTAATTCCATAGGATTAAATGAGGCTATCAACATTTATCAAAGGTAGTATAATTTTAACAAGTTATGAAACTTTAACCAACTAATTTACCATGCCATTTTCATATTCTAATCAAAGGAATCTCATGAAAGTTCATTTACTTTCATTAAATAATTGGCATCCTTATATGTCCAATGGTTAGGAATAATTTCCTTATTTCCATCGATTCATTATTGGACTCAAGTCGATTTTGACAATATCCAATTCATCATGGACAAAGTGTAGGAATAGCAACATATATTCCAAATATTTATACATTCATTTGTAGAAGTTTATTCTATAAAATTTTTCATGGAGGAGGTCCACATATTTCCATATTTTGTTGCCATCTAGTAAA